AAAGTCTTTTTTTTTATTTATAAGATTTATTTTATGTATATGAGTACACTGTCGCTGCCTTCAGACACACCAGAGGAGGGCATTGGATCCCATTACAGATGGTTGTGAGCCACCATGTGGTTCTGGGAATTAAGAGCTCTGTGCTCTTAACCACTGAGCCATCTCTTCAGCCCTCCAAGTCTCTTGTTAGATGGCTTTTGTAACTGTTTTCATGGAATTGTGGGTGTTTCATCCTGTCCACTCTCCAGTAACCAGTCTGCATCTGTGGCTTGATGTATTTTTGTTACATTCATGTGTGGTTGGGTTTTTGTTAACTTGACCCAAACCTCAATATATCTGGGAATTGTCTCCAGAAGATTGGCCCATAGGCAAGTCTGAGAAGGCATTTTCTTGATTGTGGATTGACGTGGGAGAGCCTAACCCTAGGGGTAATACCAACCCTAGAAAGGTAGTCCTGGGATGTGTAAGAAAACAAACAGAGAAAGCCAGGAAGTAACATTCCCTTATCTTCTGTGACTTCTTTTTCAGTTCCTGTCCCCAAGTTCCTGTCTTGTGTGGGGATCCAGACAGACTCAAGACTTTCTCCGAGCACTGATGGAATAATAAATGACATGTTAGTTCTGTGTCTTTGTCAGATGTGGAGTTGGCATGGCCATTGTGAGGCCGGAGCCAGTGCCTCAAAGGAGTCAAGGTTGCAGTTTCTGGAAAGTCAACTCTTCCCCCTGGGCTGTGGTTATGAGTCCTAAGACAGCTGTGTCTGGAGTACTACAAGTTCTCTTTGCCAGCATTGTCTGACTCTCTCCTGACCTCGGGCCATCTCCCTGGCTAATAGTTTATAGGATCCTGTAACTGCTTAATAAACTGGCTTGCCATCATCTTAGGCAAGACCTCCTGGTCCCAGCTAATGCCTTTGTCTTCTTTATTTCTCATTCCCTGTCCTCTCAACTCAATACCTTACCATTCACCACCCTTATTCCTGTGGGTCTGGGTCAGTCTTGAACTCCTGCCTTGGATTCCCTCAATGAACTGTGACTAGGGATATGTAAACCAAAGAAACTCTATCCTACCGAGTTGCTTTTATCACAGCAACAGAAAGCAAACTAGAATAACCCCATTAGACAAATGTTCTGTCATATATTTTTATGATAAAGTCCCCAAAAAGGGTTTAATTCAAGGTGGCCTATAAGTAAACAAGTGTAATCTTTGGCAATCTTTGTCCAAATTAATTCAAAAATGTCAACAAATGTAAGAAATTAGTTATTTTAAATTTATGGGGGGATAGGGCTGGAGAAATGGCTCAGCACTTAAGAGCACTGACTGCTTTTCCAGAGGTCCTGAGTTCAATTCCCAGCAACCACGCGGTGGCTTACAACCATCTGTTATGGGATCCAATGCCCTCTTCTGATGTGTCTGAAGACAGCTACCGTGTATGCATATACATTAAATAAATAATATAAAAAAATTTACGGGGGGATAAAGTTGCATTATATGAACCATATCATCAGGCAATTTAAAGTAGATGCTAAAAATAATAATTTACACTTTGTTATCATTCTCTAGCTATATCTACTTTATAAAACCCAAAAAGTAATTAGGTATGGCCTATGTCCAAGCTTTTATGGCTTTATAATAAAAGTCTAATATCGCATCAGGAATTTTATTTTGAAAAGCTAGGCAGAATTGTATTCTTTAAACATGAATCTTAGGTGTCCAAATAATAGAGTATCAGGATTATTAGAAATACGTTTAAAATCATTATAATTTTGAAACTGGCATATTCTGAGGAATGCTGAGTCATTGACCTTGAATCTCAAAGAGTAACACGTCAGGAATTTAGGAGAATTGAAAAACTTGTTTGTTTTCACTGTGTGTTATAATTCTGAGTAAAATATAATTAGGGACCATTATTGCTTGTTTGGAGATGACTCCTAGCCGAAAGCGGCTATCATCTTTGCAATCATCTCAGGCCATATACCCTGACAAGAGACTGTTTTCAACAACCTACAACAGCTGAGCACACTCTGATAAACATCTTGTTTTTCTCACATATTTTGTTTTGTTGTTTAATGCCCCCCAGCTGCAAGGTGCACGTGGTAAAGTGTCTTCAGCTGCGTTCCCCTGCTTGCGCTTATATATACCCAGGATTTCCTTTTAATAATGGGACTTGATCATACACCCAATCTTGTCTCCATTCTTCGAGTGTCTTGCCCCTCCATCCCCACTCTCTCTCTTGCTAGACCCTGACCCTCGAACCGGAGCAGCAGATGAATTTTATGCAGATGAATTTTATGCAGTCACTCATTCTCCCCCAGACTGGTCATCTAGGATGCAGCACCTTAGGTTCTCATTGCTTGTGTGAGGCCTCTCATTTCACTGGGTCAAGCTCCAAGCTGTTATGGCCCAACTAATAGAATTTTTGTTTTTCTTTTGGGTCCTGTCATTTTGGGGCATTTTTGTCTCTACACGTCTCCCCCACAACAGGATATTCAAGTAAAATCTTTGTTAAAAATATTAATTATTTTATGTATGTGACGGTGTAAGATCTCATTACAAATGATTGTGAGCCACCTTGTGGTTGCTGGGAATTGAACTAAAGACCATCTGGAAGAACAACAATCAGTGTTCTTAACCACTGAGCCATCTCTCCAGTCCCAGGAGAAATCTTTGGCAAAGGCCATAAGACCTCTTGAAACTCCTCCAGAGCAGAAGAGGGAAGAGTTGCACCGCATTGCTGGTCTGTCCAGAGTTGTTGAAGGTTGTATTTGGAGGAGGGAGGCGATCACAGGAGGTTAAAGGTCAGATTGTGACATTACTCACAAACTAAGAGGGCCTTAGTGCAGGAGACAGGTATCAGCAGGGATGGTAATGGTCATTATTTCTGCAGGGGAAAAAAAATCACCTGGAGCTTAATGGCCTGTAATCTAGAATATATCAAGCATGCGGCTGGGTTAGGTGTAAGGGGCCAAAGCCAGAGACAGCAAGAGCAGGACCATGGGAGCTAAGGCAGCCCAAACACCTGGAAAATCTGCCTAGAAGCCATCACACTCTGCTCACCAGAAGGCAGCATGCAGGAGAGTTGTGGTCTTTCAGTTAAAGGTTGTTAGCAGTGAGGGGTTCACAAGACTCTACTCTCCTCAAGTTCATTTTCTTGTCCGGCATAGTCACTGGTAAGTTTCTCGTGTTCCTGTAAATAGCCCCTTTCCTTCTCTCCACAGGCCACACTCCTGTGAAAAGCCCCAGTTAAACTCACTGGGTCATATAAGAGAAAAGAGGCTAGTTGGGACATGGAAGGGGATCAACAGGAGAGCCAGGGGACAAAAGTAAACGGGGGAGTAAATAAGATCAAAATATATACATCTATGGAGGAATCTTACCCGTTAAGTGTAATTAATATGTATTGAAACTGTAAAATCTCTCAATTATTTGGAAGTCTTGACCCAAGATAGCTAATTGTGACGGAGAGGGGACATTAGTGCAGGTGTAAACACCCTTGGAGCTGGAGTTCCAGGTGGTTGTGTCACATGGTTGTCTGGATTCGAATTCAGGTCCTTTGGAAGAGTAGCCAGTGCTCTTAACCACTGAGCTGTCTCTCCAGCCTACAAAATTGTTGAAATAGCTAAAGGAAGATGACTTCAATCCAATGTCCTCGTGACCTAGATGTGAGGACCTTTTTGGTCAGTATTGTTTGCGCACGTGTGCATGTGTTTGAATCCATTGGTGTGCATATTCAAATCTGTGCACATGTGTATGGAGGCCATACAACAGCCTCAAGTGTTATTTCCCAGGCCCCTCTCTTTTTCAGACCCTGACTCTCACTGGCCAGCAAATGAGACTTGCCTCAGGATTCCACCAGTTTATGTTTTCCCACTGTTGGCAATTACAAACCAACCCACCTTTCCTGGCTTTTAATACGCCCCGCCCCCGCCCCCCCTACTTGAGTTGTAAGGGTTGGCCTCAGGTGAGCGATGTTTTGCCACTGAGAATCTCCGCAGCCCTTGTCAGTCAATGTGTTTATCTCCACTAGATTCTCTTCTCCACCTGCAAGCCCATGCAATGTACCTTAAAAGGTTCTTCTCCAAGCGCAAATTCTTTGGAATTTCCCCTCATATCTAAGCTTAGAGATTCTGTAACTTTAACACCTCAAATAACAAATATAGCTGCTGAGCCACTTGATTGCTGTTAAGTTTCAAACCTGGGGACAAACGGCTGAGGTGCCTATTTAACATACCAAAGAGGACCTGGCTGCTCGGTTCTCCTTGTAACCCTCAACCTCTTCCTGTTACCATACCCTGAACTCTACAGCTCAGGGGGTGGGCTGCTCTTCCCAATATAATCCAGACATTTTAGTTTCTAGCTCTTTGTACTTTTGGGGCTCCTAGCTGCTGTCCCTGGTTCCCCTCTCTCTCCTTTCCCTTTGCCCACACCCTCCCCACGTCACGTGGCTCAGAGTCCTGTCCATTCTGGACTCAGCCAGATGTCCCTGCTCTTTCTTTTATCTATAATAAGCTTTAGCTGATGGCTAATATAAATTTTAAGTTATTCTTGAAAACACATTCATGATTATTTGTTTGGTTGAAGGGTTTGGGGTTTTTTATTTTGTTTTTGTTAGTGAGGTCAATTCTTAACCCAAGATAGCATTGACATAGGAGTCTCATTTGCGGAATCCTCTCTGTTGGATTGGCCTTCGGGTCTTGCCTAGGCAGGTGGACAGCGAGAGATACTTTTAAAAACAGGAGAGGACGCGTTCATTCGTCCTTAAATGAAACACAGCTCGTTTTTTGCTTTCTTCTTCCATGACTTTTGGTCCCCCTGAGATCCCGGTCGAGACTACATTTCCCAGCAGGCCATACTCAGACCTACGGGTGCCCGCATGGGACCGTGGAACTTTGGGGGAGGCACAGTAGCAGTACGGGCTGCTGACCGGCCGGCCCTTCGCGGTTTGAATGGCTGCGGGCCCGGGCCCTGAGCGCATCTGAAGAGCCGCGGCCTCGGGGTGCGACATGGCATCTGGAGGCAAACAGTCGCCACCGCCTCCTCCTGCTGCTGCAGCCAGCTCAGAGGAAGAGGAGGAGGATGGCGACGCCGCGGACCGCGCGCAGCCCGCGGGGTCCCCGAGCCATCAGATCCAGCAGCGGTTCGAGGAGCTGTGCAGCCGCCTCAACATGGATGAGGCGGCGCGCGCCGAGGCCTGGAGCAGCTACCGCAGCATGAGCGAGAGCTACACGCTGGAGGTGCGTGCTCAGACCCTCCGCGGAAGTCGGGGACTCGGGGTGGCCCTGGAGTCACTTGGTCCTTTGCACCGCACCATTGCCTCTGCCCTGGCTTTGCAGCCGTCAGAGGAGACGCATTAAGTTTCGGGCTTGCTTACGTGTGAGAACGGCTTAGGATTTGTTGCCACCCACCCCCTGGCAGATGAAAAGCGAGTGTAGACACACAACATTTGTTGCTGAGGTTGGGCACTCTTTTTGGCTGTCATCCAGGTGTAGGCTTGTTATGTTCCGTTCTTGGGACCGGGCTCGCAGTTGACGAAAATGGCTATTCGGGCCAGTGCCTGTCAACTCTGCAGGCACCTCCCCTGTATGGGCCAATGGGAAGTGACACGGAAGTCCGGATTGTTTATCAGCTGCCTGTGCGATGGCCCTTTGATTTTATATATAGCTTATGGAAAGATCAGGGCAAACAGACCCTCGATCCGATCCGAAGGCTAAGCAAGGTGTTATTTAACTATAATATGGCTGTACTTGTGTCATTCTTCTGAGTCGGTTTATTTCCATGGGAAAAAAACCGTCACACATCGAATTCCCCTCTCTCCATTTTGTTACACCCACAAAAAAAAAAGAAAGAAAGAAGGAAAGAAAAGGAAGAAAAAAGAAAAAGAGAGAAAGAAAGGAAGGAAGGAAGGAAGGAAGGAAGGAAGGAAGGAAGGAAGGAAGGAAGGAAGATAGATGGCAGCTTTAGACCTAGATCTGAGTGACTCTGGACAAGTTTTTAACCACAGTGAAACTCTGTTTTGTTGTGTAAGCGGGTTTGTTATTTGTGCCCACTTCAAAGTGCTTACCTAAAGCCTAACTAAAGCAATGTGTGTATGTGTGCAGAAAATTTCATATACTGAAGCAGTCTGGCTGAAGAGCCCATAGCCTTCTTCCTGACTCGGTGTTTCCAGTAGCCAAACAAAGAAGGGAACTTCTGGTTTGAAGGGCATTAAATACCCCCAAACGAACTCTTACTTAACCTTAGAGATGGCACTATAAAGAAGAAGCATTATAGCAGAGGCTTCAATTCACAGACTAAGTCAAATGAAGCCCGGTGTTAAATATGCAAATGGCATTTAACAGATGCTTAGTAAATTCGTGTGTGTGTGTGTGTGTGTGTGTGTGTGTGTGTGTGTGTATGTATGTGTGTGTATGTATGTGATGTTTAGGTGTGTAGGTCAGAGGACGACTTTGGAGAATTTATCTTTTCACCAGTGGATCACTGCGGGTCTGTTAGATCTGTTTGTCAGCTAGCGCGTTACCTGCCCAACCTTGCCAACCCAATTAGTAAATTATTTTTGAAAACATTTACTATTTCTTGTTTGGACGAGGCTTTTTATTTGTTTGTTTATTATCTATTTCTTATTTGGATTGGTTAGTGAGGTTTTAATCTCAATTCTTAGCCCAGCTTACCTTTGTCATAGCTTCAACTGTCAACGTGGCACACCTGGGAAGGGAGAGACCTCATTTATGGAATCCCCTGCATCAGATGACAGTGGGCATGCCTGTGGGGCATGTCCTTCATTGCTAATTGATGTTGCCCACTGTGGCTTATGCTGCCCTGCTGGTCCTGAGCTGCTGATCCTAAAGAAGGAAGCATTACCTGTTTCAGGTCTTGTCTCCAGGTTCCTGCCTGGATTTCCTGGCTGCAACCTGTAACCCACCATAGTTTTCTAGGTACTGGGAATAAAGCAGTGGGCGAAACCTAAAACCCCCTGATGCACGAGTTTCCAGTCAGGAATACTGTACTGTGGGCAAGCAGTTGTCTGAAAGAGTACCGAGGAAATAAAGGTCACTTGATAGTTAATACTTACCATCTGCTTTAGAATTGTCTCAACTGTTTTCCTGAATTTTTTTAAAAAATTTTATTTTATGCAAATAAATGTTTTGCCCACATGTATGACTGTGTACCAGATGCAGGCTTGGAAGCTAAAGAGGCCAGAAGAGGGTGTCACAGCCCCTGGATCTGACATTATACAGTTATGTGCCACCACATGGGCACTGGGAATGAAACCAGAGACCTCTGGGAGAGCAGCCACTGCTCTTAACCACTGAACCATCTCTCCAGCCCCATTTTCTGAATTCTTGTAGTTTATTTCATTCTCACTGTTGTCAGCGAAGAAAATGAAACCTCTGGGCTTAAGTACTTTGCCCATAGAGAGATCTCTAATATGCAGCCAAGGCCGATCTGTGTTACATGGCAATGGACTGTAAATCTGAAATGACTTCTCCCCGCTGCCGCCGTTTTTTTGTTTTTTGTTTTTTGTTTTTTGTTTTTTTTTTTTTTTTTTTTTTTTGAGACAGGGTCTTATATAGTGCAGTCTGGCCTTGAACTTGCTGAGGGTATAGTTGAAGATGACCTTGAACTTCTGATCCTCAAGCCAACCGGGGTTCTAAGAGTGGGCCATCATATTCAGTTAATGCCCAAGACCTCAAGCATGCCAGGGAAGCATGACCCACCAAGCTGTCTCCTCAGCCTGACAATGACTGTTAAGGATTTCTCAACAGATATTTGCTAGGCTAATGATGAACCAGGTCAGAGGACTCTTCTTGTCTATTGTTGGTGGACCCAGGCATGTATTACTTTACAAAGTTCTTTTTCATTTCCTTTATCCTTCAACTGTTGTAACATTCTCATCCTTAAGACTATTTTCTTCTTTCCTTTTCTGGGAATGATGTAGTTGTTGCAGGATAATTTCCTGCTACATTGTATTTGCAGTAAAGCTCGGTGATTGGGCAGTAGAAGACATGGGTGGAGCTAAGAGTGAGAAGGAGGAAAGGAAGAGGAGAAAGAGGAGAGTTAGCACTAACACAGTTATAAATTCTCTCATCTCCCTTAAGCCCTTTTTTAGAATGAAGATGGCATCATAACTGCTTACCTGTATTCTTCCTAATAGATCTTGATGGCAGAAAACTTCAGTAGTTGAAAAGCTCAGTTTACCTTGAGGTCATACGATCGGGGAAACTGTGACACCATGGGGTTAAGGATGTGCTCCAGTGCAGTGTGGATGGTGGTGAGGCCTTGAGTTCTAACAGCATCAGTGCCCAAAACTAAAACCAAAACCTAAACCACCCTCCAAACCAAACACTGAGCAACTGAAACCGTTGCTCAGAGCTGTGTTTAAGGGGAGGAGAGAGGGCTTGGTGGGTAACGTACTGTGCGAGCATCTGGACCTGAGTCTGGATCCTAACAACCTTGCTGAAAGCTGGGATACCATGCTGTGCTGTGGGAATTCAGGCGGTACAAAGGAGATACCATGTTTCTGCATCAGAAAGACTGTTGTCTCACCCAGAAGCATTGAGTAGTAACAAGGGTAGGTATAGTTCAGCATGGCAGGGCTCCTTGGGCATCTCTCTGTGTATCACTGGCCACTACCATATTCTCTCTCTCAGCCTGACAGTTGAAGGGAGTCACACTTTTTCTATGCTGGTTTATGACATCCTCAGAGATGGAAGCAGGTGGTACTGGTGTTCCCTTCTGTGACCTTTGACATTGTGTAGCATCACTTTTACCTGTGGTGTCAGTAGAGACAATCAGGTAAAGGGGCATAGGACCTGCTTCAAGGTAAAGGAACAGAGACACAGTACCATGCATGGACAAATGTCAATGTCACATACTGGAAGAGGCCGTGGGCCAGGGCCATCATAGAAATATCACTTTCGATATGAGTGTGTGAAGTTTTACACTGAAACACAGAGAAGTCATTAGCTAAAACTCTGTTTTCTTTTTCAGGGAAATGATCTTCATTGGTTAGCATGTGCCTTATATGTGGCTTGCAGAAAATCTGTTCCAACTGTGGGCAAAGGGACTGTTGAAGGAAACTATGTATCTTTAACTAGAATCCTTCGATGCTCCGAGCAGAGGTAAGCATATTAGAGCTTAAAAAGTAGAATGTAGCTAAATTTAAAAGAAGCTTAGAAATCACACTGATAATGAAAATTCTCTTTGCTTACTATTTTCTGAGCATCTAACATGTACACAGCTGAATCTAGAATGGGAGTCGTGGTTTTCCTTTACCATTTCAGAGTCAGGGTCATATTGTATGAGCTTGAGTGTATTTGCATTGTAATACATTAAAGGTTATAACTTATTATATAATGATGCTATAAGTTTAAATAAAGATATTGAGAAGCTTTTGAAGATACCATGGATTGAAAAGGTAAATAAATGTGAATTATGAGACAATATGCTTAGATACATATGCATAGAACTTGTGTTTGAATGTACATGGGATACATAGTAAAACTGAAGCCACATGTTCTCTGATCCTAAAGAAACTCCTACACACATACGAAGATGTTTATTGCAACATTCAAAAATTGATGGTTTTTATATGTGTGTGAGTGTTTACATGTACATATGTGTATCACGTGTGTCCTTGGTGTCTGTGGAGGCCAGAAGAAGGCACTGGATTTCCTGGCACTGGAGTTACAGATGGTTGTGAGCTGCTGGGTCCTCTGCCAAGAGCAACAAATGCTCTTAGCCTCTGAGCCACCTCTCCAGTCCCACACCATTTTATTAAAGGGATATCAGAAGTGACCTGACTCTGTTCATTGAGTGAGTGCAGAAAGTTATTGTATGTTCATAGGAAGAAATGGTTTTAGTAATTAAATAAATAAGTTAGATATTTCCATGTTTTGATATTAATGAATCTCAGAAACATTAAATGAAGATTAGGTTGCAGAATGCTACTTATAGCGTGATATATTTTACATAAAATGTAAAAGCAAACAAAGGATATTACTTTTTTTATGAATATATGTATGGAAAAATAATCAGACTAACTTCAGAACTGGATTAACATTTGGGAGGTGTGGAAAAATAGATTAGGAAGATGTATAAATTTAATTTTTGGCTATTTCTATCCTAACTTTAGTATCATTCTAAAATTTTTTAGGCTCATTTTATTTTTGTGTACAAGCATTTTTGCCTGCATTTATGTATGTAGTACCATGTGCATGTTTGGTGTCTAAGGAGGTCAGAAGAGGACAACGGATCCCCTGGGACTGTAGAAAAGATGGTCATGTGTGACCTTGTGGTTGCTAGGCATTGAATCCAGGTCCTCTTCGAGAACAGCAAATGCTCTTAAGTATGATGAGCCATCTTTCCAGCCCAGTCGTTCTAGTATTTAAAAGCTCTGAGCCAGAGCCAATGAGAAGACTCCATGGGTAAAAGCTCCTGCCACACCCAGCAGAAAAATCCAAGTGATAAAGTCATTGAGGAAGGCACCAAGCATCAATTTCTGTCTTCCATGTACATTCCCACATGTCAGCTACATGCACATACACACACATACACACAAAGAAACCGAACCTGAGCAGAGTAGTTCAGGAGGGCTGGAGTAAGAAGGCAAAGGGTAGGAGTTTCAGCTAGTTAAAGACATCCATTGGATTTTATGTCGTTGTCCAAATATAACTCAACGGAATGACTTTGGTTTACTGTATTGGCATTTACTTGTATTGGCATAACATCACCTTTATGTTACTAAAGTACCTCATTCTTTTAATGTCAGCCTAATTGAATTCTTTAACAAGATGAAGAAGTGGGAGGACATGGCAAATCTACCCCCACATTTCCGAGAACGTACTGAAAGATTAGAAAGAAACTTCACTGTTTCCGCTGTAATTTTTAAGAAATATGAACCCATTTTCCAAGACATTTTTAAATATCCCCAAGAAGAACAACCTCGCCAGCAAAGAGGAAGAAAGCAGAGGTATGTGTCTGTGTGTCTCTGGAAAAATGGTTTCATAAGTAATTCCTCCTGAGAAGCTGGGATTTTTTTTTTCTTGTTGGTTTTGAGACAGGACCTTGCTATGTAGCCTTGGAGGCCTGGAGTTCACTATGTAGACCAGCTTGGCCTCCAACTCAAAAGATCTGCCTTCCTCTGCCTCTGAGTCCTGGGATTAAAGACACGTACTCCCACGCCTGGCTTAGAAAGTATTTGTGTGAATAACAATTTGTTGCTGCTCTCTGCCGTGTGTCAGAAATTGCCTGGTTTCTTTCACAGTTCAGAATGTTTGGCTTTTACATTGAGATAACTTTTCCCTTTTTTATTTAAGCAACCAAAAGTGTAGGTTGTACAAGTCAGACCCCAAGCACTTTTTCCAGTTGACTTTCTTGGTATTGATCAGATACAGATATTTTCTATTATTTGACCTTTATGTCAAACTGAACAATAGTCCCTGAAATGAGTTTGATGTTCATAACCAGTCAACACCAAAGAAACTAGCTTAGGTGAGAATAGGGAGATTCAACTACTGTGAACTTGTTTTCTGGTCAGGTCTACAAAACCAGTTTACTCTAGCTAGTTTTCTGGCCTTATAATTACAAGACACAAACTTAATAGCCAAGGTTATTTTAAACAGAAAGGGAAACTTTGCTTCTAAAGTACGTGAGGAAATTTCCTCTTCAATAGAGCTACAACAGTATTCATAAGAAATATACAAGAGGCTGGGCATAGTTACACAGAACTGTAATCCCAGGAGGCTGAGGCAGGAGGATCACCTGGACTCTATAAAAGAGATTCTGTTTCAGTCAAAAAGAGAGAAATAAAACAAAGCAAAATCAAAACACCCTAAAATGGGGGAAGGAATATCATTGTGTAGCCCAGGCTGGCCTCAAACTTGCTATTCTTCTGTATTGGCCTTGCAGGCGCTGGGATTACAGGAATGTTCTACCACCCCCAGTTTACTCTATAGGTCTTGGCACTTTCTAGCACTTTCTGCTAAAAGTTTGATGGCCCGGCCTCGTGAGTGTGACTAATGTACAACTGTGACTATGTCACTATATGTTAAACACAACAAGAAATTATCGTCTTGGTATTGTGTAGTGGATGGGCATTCAAACAGAACCATGGTCTCTCTTCTGAGAGCTGACAGTAAAGCAAGAGAGAAGAAATAGCATACAGACCATGAGAGTGCAGCAGACACAGAAAAGTGAGATTTCTGAGGCCAAGATAAACCTAGATGACCCAGTTTGATACCATTGCATAGAGGAAGCAGAACTGGGTAGGATTTGGCAGATGACTAGGGATAGCGATGGGGCCTTCGGTACAGAGGATACAGCGATATGTATGTGCAGAGGCAGCAAGAGGGACTTGGGGAAGCAGATCGGTTAGGTACTTCCAGGGCCCTAATGTTAGAGCTAAAATGTAGAGTAGCTTATATATTACAAGCAAAAAAGCCTAAATTTTATATTTGAGGCTATCAAAATCATAAATAGGTTAGCATATACTGCAGCAGAAAGGCCTTAGCTTTTTTTTCTTTTTGAGACTGGGTCTCATGTAGCCCAGGTATCCTTGAACAAGTTAAATAGTCAAACATGGCCTTGAACTACAGATTCTACTACTTCCTGAGTACTGCAATAAGCTACTAGATTAAATCCAGTACCACTCCTACCTAGAGTAACTTGGACAGATGAAGGAGAAAGGGCCAGGAAAACAAGTGTCTGTTCCTGCTAGGACCAGAGCTAAACCCCACCTTGCTCTTCTCCAGGACCGGTGCTCTTCTTGATCCTGCTGTAAAGCTGGGCATGGTGACATACATCTGTAATCCTAGCATTTGGCAGATACAGGTGTTCAAATCAGCCTCTGCTAAATATCGAGTTCAAAGCCAGCCTGGGTGACATGAGAGCTTGTCTCAGAAAACAAAAATAAAGCAAAAGATGAGGCTCTTGTGATTTGGACCCAATAGAAATCTGGTTTAAGCACTGGCAAGAGATTTTGGTAGAAAAGCCAAGCGACAGCAGATCTGAGACCCCCATAATACAATAGGTCTCTTAGTGGGTGGAGTATAGGCCTAAAGATAGGGCCAGAGTTTACTGCAGAATGACCTTTCATGATTTTATAGCGTGGATTATTTTAGGGAGAGGGTTGCAGTTCATCTGCATGAGGAAAAGCAGTAACCCCAGACTGCCTGCAGCCCGGAAGCAGCGTTAGCAGCTGTACTGATGTCATCACAAGAGCTGTAGTTTTTCCTCGTACTTTGTGCCTTATGTATCTTTACCCTAGAAACTTAGAAAGGAGTTTGTTTGTTTGTTTGTTTGCATCTGAGCTGCTTTTCCTGCCTCCTGGCTGTTTGCTTTTAGTATTTGGTTGGGGCAGAGTGTCTTGTACGTTTCCATGAAAAGCCACATCTGTTATCCCTGGGGCTTGATTCATATCTGATTTTGTTTGGGTTGTCTTTTTGTGATTCTTTTATTTGTCTTGCAACTTTGTTTTTCTCCCTCTCCAGGCGACAGCCCTGTACCACGTCTGAAATTTTCCATTTTTGTTGGGTGCTTTTTATATATGCAAAAGGTAAGAGTAATGTGTATTCGAACAGGAATTAGCTAACTGTTTTTAGGTCCTGATTTTGTCTGCTATATTATGAATCAGTAAGAAAGCCTCACTTCTCGTATGAGGCTCTTCAGTACTGTCTTTACAGTATCCACGTCTCCTCATACTAAATGGCACACCCCTCACTTTAGTCTTGTCCACACCTCTTTGACGTGAAGCTACCCTTCCAGGTTGTGAACAGAACCACGGCACGCTGCATTAGCTTGTATTTGGGGCTCTGCTCTTCATATTCTGTGCCTCATTCACTGAGTGGGACTGAAGTCCTCAGAATAGGTCTGATGATGACTTTCTGCATGTCTACAGGTGACAAGAGTGACTAAACTTAATCCGATACTTAGACTCTCTTTCTCTCCTCTTTTCATTCCATTGCCCTATGCAAGGTACGCAGGCACTAAAGTACACCTCTGTGACTTTGGTATATTCTGTAGAGGGATGACGCTTAACAGTCTAAAGGAGAAGGTACAGTTACACACGTTAGGTTTTTCTCTACAGATTGTGCATACTGCTGCCACTAAGATAGTTCAATGAGATACAAAGTGTTAGAATTGGATGGAGTTGCATGCATCCTGGAGGGCCCCCTTTATGTATGCAGGATACCGCCTAAGACCTGAGACCAAAGATACTTCCACCCTTTGAATGGTATGATTCTTGCTATACATACCTACACAAAGTTGAATTTATACATCAAACATAGTTAGAGATAAGAACAGAGAAGTTATGGTTGTAGAGTAGATGTTATCTAAATTCTGTCTCTATAAATTACCTTATTGTACTCTAAGTCTTAGCAGAACCAGCATATGACTCTTTTAAGGATTCTGTTTTCTATGCATGGGCATTTACTTGCATGTCTATCACCATGTGCATGCAGTACCAGAGAGGTCAGAAGGGGGCATCGGATATCTCCAAGAGGTTGCTGGCAACTCAACCCTGGGCTCTCTGGAAGAGTAGCCAGTGTTCTTAACCACTGAGCCATCTATCCAGCGCTTTTAAAAACCTTTTTAAAAATTTAAATTAAGGACACTCATTTTACTTAATGGAAACACTTCCACCTACTGGCTTTTCTTTGGCAAGTTGCTGAACGACCTTAGGAACATTGCTAAGTGAAATACATGTTGCTTGAATAAAATCTCTGCTGTATGGAGACAGTAGATCAAATAACCACAAAAACAGCTAATTGGCTTATGGACACATAGCATATTCAGCCTGGACATGCAGGATACAGGGAGGACAGAGCTATCCACAGAGGTGAGCAGAACAGTGAAACATGCAATTTTAAATGTAGTTTTTATTTGTTTGGGGCTAACTCTTTAGGCCAGTCTGACTTGTAATTTGTGGCCCTCCTGCCTCAGTCTCCCGAGTACTTAGATTATTGGCATCCCTGCCTATCTGAGAATTATTTCTTAAATTTTCTATTTGATATTTTTGTTCTGTTGATCAAAGGTAACCGAAACTATAAAAATAAAGCCATGGATTAGGGAAAATAACTGTGTAAGAGAGTCCCTTTATCAGGTCAACTATCACAACTGATTCATTTCAGGATTAGACAACTAAAGCCAGAAACTGTTAAGGTTATGCTTGCAGACACTAACCTAGCATAACTGTCCTCTGAGAGCCTCCACTTTGCAGTTGACCAAAGCAGATGCAGAGACCCATAGCCAAACAGTAGACTGAGCTCAGGGAGTGTTGTGGAAGAGTTGGGGGAAGGATTGAGGAGCCATAAGGGGATAGAACTCCACAGGAAGGCCAAAAGAATCAACTAATCTGGACCTTGGGGACTCCCAGAGACTGAACCACCAACCAAAGAGTATATATGGACTGCCCACCCCCCACATATGTAGCAGATATACAGCTTGGTCTTGTGGGTCCCCCAACAACTGGAAATGGGGCTGTGTCTAACTCTAGTGCCTGTGGATCCTGTTCCCCTAACTGGGCTGCCTTGCCTGACCTCAGTGGGAGAGAATGTACCCAGTCCTGTAGTTACTTGATGTGAGTTGGTACTCCTTTTTCTCAGAGGAGAGAGGGAGGGAAGAGGGGAGGGACTGTTTAAGGGGGACTGGGAGGAAAGAGGGGGCTGCGATCAGGATCTTAAGTGAATAAATAAATTAATTAATGGAAAAAAATAAAAGAATAATGTAAGGATTTGAACCCAGCTCTCCTGTTTCCTGTTTGAGGCTGAACATGAAGGTGTGGTTTCCAGGAGTGCTGTAATTGCAGCTGCTCCTCTCTAAGGCAGCAGAGGGGGTCCTCCATCATTCCTGAGCTGTGTGCCCAGTGGAAGGAAGAGTCTTTGTGAGCTTCTTAGTTATGCTTTCATAGCAATGACACTGGCAGCCTTGAGTGCAGTCAGAAGTGACAGACGTGGCCCAGTGGTGGAGTACTTGTTCAATATGCACGAGACCCTGTATTCAATCCTGAGCACCACAAATGTAAAAATAAAATAAAATAAAATAGATATAAACATATTATCTTATGTGACTGGTATTATATATGATAGCAGTCTTACGATCATATTGGATAACTGTGTGGCTACTACGATTTTAATCTAGTTTGTATGTGCTTAGGAGTGAATGTATTTGCTAGTATTTGCTAGTATATAAACTATTAGAACAATGGCAGAGTCTCAGGCAGAATCCACTGCTTTTAGCTTTGGTTCTTGGGTTTCGTTGTTGATTTTTGTTTTTTGTTGTTTTGAGATGGGAGTTTGTGTTTGTTCCCTGGGCTGGATTGAAGCTTCCAGTATTGAGTTTGGGGGTGCAGCACAGCTCAGTGTGGCTTATGTGGTGTGCTTGGATGGGTAGCTTAGCTGCTTTAGTTCAGTACTTGTTTTCTTTCAGGGGAAGATGTATTTTGTCTGTAGCCTATGGTTGTTTTAGATAATCTCGCTCCCAGTAAGAAGCTCATTCTCTATATTTGTTGATCTGGCATGGCAAGTGACAAGTTTGAACTGTCACATGAAGGGCTTTTTGACTATTTTCTGTTTTCATAGGACAGGAAATGTTTTTCCTGGACAAGTAAGCCAAATCTAGAGGTTACGTCTTGGCATTATCTCTTGATTAAATGGTAAAGTGGCTTGTAAATTATGGTTCATTTATAAGGTCAAGTTTTGAGACAGCTAATATGTCCTGTTGGGACTGTCCTGAAATTTCATTTAGAACTCGACCTCTAGGGACATTTCCGCCTGTGGTTAGGAGTTACAGTGCTGCTGTACCTGCTCTGTAGTGAGCACACACAGAAACAAGTCCAGGCTTGCTAGTGATGGCTCAAAAACAGGAAGTGTTGCTTCCCGTTTTATGTATAATAGGGGTAGACTTTTAATATTTGACCTTTTATAGCAGAGGCAAGCAAGTTAACTTGGTTGTATCAATGCAGAATTTAATCTCCTAATAATTATTTGCCTCTCTGGCAGCAGCAGGATTGATTATTTATTTATTTATTTATTTATTTATTTATTTATTTGGTTCAACCTATCCCCCAAAGAAAAAGCTAAGGTAGGTGGTGACTTTCTGTGGAAGGAACTTAATGGAGAAAGTCTGATACAGAGCCAACTGAGACGAAGGAAAGCATGTGTGCTGGAGACTATGTGTGAAAGTGTGATGCATGCTTTGTGTCTGCAGTGTGACAATGCTGAGGTGTGACAGTGGCTCTTCAGACAGATGCTTGATAAAGTTAAACAGAGCAGTTCAGCATCCCTCCTAAACAGCACTGTAGGAAGGGCGTGTCTGCAGACGTGAGCTCGATTCATTTTCTCCCTCCCTCCCTCCCTCCCTCCCTCCCTCCCTCCCTCCCTCCCTCCCTTCCTTCCTTTCTTCTTTCCTTTCTTGCTACAAGCATGACAGTTATCCTTGGGACAGTAGTAGCTTTTGAAGTCAAATGTCTGTATCTATGTTCCGTTGAATTAATGGGAATGACCTTTATTGCTACATAGGAAAGGATTTTATAAAACCTTACCATTACTGCTCTAATGAAAGGCCCTCTTCTCTTTAGATTGCAGATATGAGAAAAATCATACATGGCTCATTTTCTAGTGGTTTACCTTTAAATATTTCTAGTTATTTTCACTGCAGAAAAACTTTTTAATGTAAAAATGATTTGTTACAGTTTAAGAAAGTTAATAAAATTGTGTGTGTGTTCAGAATTCCAAAGACTAGAGCAGTCGTAGTTGAGGTTATAGTTCACTACTAGCTACTTAATAGACGCCTAGTGAATGTATATTGAATTTAAGTAAAGTTTTAGTTTTCATTAAATTCTTAGACATACATTAAAATATCAGTGTCCTAAAATGTAAATTTGCCAAAACTCTTGAACCAACTTGGTATAATGGTGTATGGTGTCATTATAACTAAAGGAAGCAATTGTTTTTAAAATACTGTGCTGTGGATGCTGATTTAACTGTGACTTTTACAACCCTGTAGGAAACTTCCCCATGATTAGTGATGATCTGGTCAATTCCTACCATCTTCTGCTATGTGCATTAGACTTAGTTTATGGAAATGCCCTACAATGTTCTAACCGTAAAGAACTTGTGAACCCTAATTTTAAAGGTAAGTTTATTCACAGCCCATGTTTCTGCATGATTTTTACTCGTGGAAACTGTATCCCCAGATGCAGGTTTGCTAGCCTCGGAGAGCATGAGTATCGGGGAGCTTCCACCACCTGAGTCCTACAAAGTGCTTATACTGAAGTCAGCATCTCCAGACAGTTTTAAAATGTTTCTTTCATTTTATTTTATGTGTATGAGTGTTTTGTCTGCATGCATGTTTGTGTACCAGATGTGTGCCTGGTATTCTCACAGGCCAGAAGGAGAGTGTCAAGTCCTGTGAACCAGGCTTATAGATGGCTGTGAGTGATGTGTGCTGGGAATTGAACCTAGGTCCTCTGGAAGAGTAAGCTGTGCTCTTAATTAGTGAGTCATCTCTCCAGTCCCCACCCCACCCCCACCCCTAAAAAAAGAAAAGCAAATATCACCAAATTTAGTTTAAATGATAACTTTGGAGGCTTTTGAAAAATATATAGAAAAAGAGAAGACTGTAGAAACTCATAGTATGAAGATAACTCTAAAACCATGGTAGTATTTTTGGGCGTTGGCACGTTTGGTGCTTAATGCACTCCAAGTAGCAACAAAGAATTGACTATAAGAACCGAATTTTACTTCTTTTGCTACAGAAAAATAAAATTCTGGCCGGGCGGTGGTAGTGCATGCCTTTAATCCCAGCACTTGGGAGGCAGAGACAGGCGGATTTCTGAGTTCGAGGCCAGCCTGGTCTACAGAGTGAGTTCCAGGACAGCCAGGGCTACACAGAGAAACCCTGTCTCAAAAACAACAACAACAAAAAAAAAAGTTCTGAAACAACAAGAACTTTGCTCTCTAGGTAACTGGTATGAGAATCATACTCCTTTTGGCAGTACGTGTACTATGCTTTATATTATGTAATTTCTGTAAGCCATACATGTAAACACTGAGGCTGTATAGACTATATTTCTGATTCTGTGTGAAGAACACAGTGGAAGAATTCTGATCATCAGTTTGGGCCTGGTTTTAATTAGAACTTCAACTTGCCCATCAGGGTTGATTTTAGTGGACGTAGTTACTACAATTACCTGTCACTCAGAAGGTGTGAGATGTCAGCCTGAGAGGGAGTCTGTGACAGAGTTTGTGACAGACCGCTTGGCTGGCCCTGAGTTTGATCTTCAGTACTGCAGAATGAACAAGACAGCAGAAAAATCAAGCTTTAGATTTCACCAAAGAGTTTTTGGTTGTGCGTGTTCATCTAATAAAGATGGTGCAGATGGCCCAAAATTCAAAGGATTAAATCTTGGTCCAAGCATTTTAGACAAGGAGCATTTGACCTTTGCCCCTTTCTGTGCTCCCCTTTCATCTTGACTTTATTCTTTCACCCTTTTTCTGGGGACTGAACACAGGGTGCTCTGGTACTGTGCTACATCTGTTGCTTCCATTTGATTTTTTAAAAAAGATTTATTTATTTCATTTTTTTGAGTACACTGTAGCTGTCTTCAGACACACCCGAAGAGAGCATTAGATCCCATTACAGATGGTTGTGAGCCACCATGTGGTTGCTGGGAATGGAACTCAGGACCTCTGGAAGAGCAGTCAGTGCTCTTAACTGCTGAGTCATCTCTCCTGCCCCTATTTGATATTTTTATTTGTTCTGTTTTTACCTTCTTTAACTTTCTTTGATTTTTTATGTTCTTATGAAAGAGCACACTATAAATTAGTATAAATGTCTAATATGGTCAAGTCAAAGTGGACAGTCTGTAAGCTGTGTCATTTTAAAAATTGTCACATTTTAGTGTGGGCAGCAGGGGGAAGGCCTGGGCCTGCCACAGTATGCATGTACAGGTGAGAGGACATTTGAGGGACTCTATTCTCTCCTCCAGCACCTGAATCTTAGTGATCACACCGGTTGTCAGGCTTGGAACTGGGTGTCTTCACCTGATGAACCATCTCAGCCACTGAAATGGGTACTGGTTTGTTTGTTTGTTTGTTTGTTTGTTTGTTTGATTCAGAGTCTCTGCAGCTCTGGCTGTCCTGGAACTCAATATGTAGACCAGGCTGGCCTTGAACTCACAGAGATCAACCTGCCTCTGTGGCTGAGTGCTGGGATTAAAGTTGTGTGAGCCACCTTACCTGGCAGAAATATGTGTGTGTGTGTGTGTGTGTGTGTGTGTATATTCGAATGTAAGACTCATTTGCAGAACACAATTGCTGATGTTTTTCAGATAGTCCCCCAACTTTTTATTTTTCTAACAGCCTTTAGTCACATACTAATCTTTTGAGTAGTGATGTGTTTTACCTCCACCACCATTTTAAAAGGTATTTAATTTATAACTTATGTAGTCCTTTCTCTATGTGAGACAGGATCTTACAGCTCAGGCGGTCCTAGTTCACAACAGCCCTCTTGAGCACTGGGTGTAGGTTGAGGAAGAATGTCCCTTTTTATTTGTTTGTACTGGGGATGCTGCATATCCAGCTCTGTCTCCATCTCTGGTCATCTTTTGAGGTATATGTAAATTAGTTACACAGGCCGATCATATCCTGACCAGACTAGCATTTCCGTTTCAGTGTATTTGTATGTTAGCTAGTCGATGCTGACCAGTGTCTCCATTTTGTGATTTTATACATCGTAGGCCTGTCAGAGGACTGCCACCCCAAGGACTCTAAACCTTCCTCTGAGCCCCTGTGTGTCATTGAGAAGCTCTGCTCCTTACATGACGGTCTGGTGCTGGAGGCAAAGGGAATCAAGGAGCATTTCTGGAAACCCTATATTAGGAAACTTTTTGAAAAAAAGGTTTGTAAATAACAACATATGGATGTTTTCTGGATAAAGACTTGGTTGCATGTAACCTAAGGACCTTTCTTTTCATCATAGCTCCTCAAGGGGAAGGAAGAAAATCTTACTGGCTTCCTGGAACCAGGAAACTTTGGAGAGAGTTTGTGAGTACTTAATGCTGTAGACCTGTTAGGTTAGTTGTGTTCAGTTGCTTGGTTTTGAGCTTTTTTTTTTTTTGAGACGGGTTTTTATTAGTAGTCCTTGCTGTTCTTGTTCTGTAGACCAGGCTGGCCTCCAACTCAGGCTAGCTTCCACCTGCCTCTGCCTCCCCATACTTGGCTTGCTCTAATATTTTAACATACCTGTGAAGAGACCTTGTGCTCAGTGTTTGTACTGCTTGGACATTTTTTAAAAAAGATTTATTTATTTTTATTGCTATGAGTACACTGCAGCTGTCTTCAGACACACACTAGAAGAGGGCATCGGATCCCATTGCAGATGGTTGTGAGCCACCATGTGGTTGCTGGGAATTGAACTCAGGACCTCCACCGAGCCATCTCTCCAGCCCCTGTTTGGACATTTTTAATGCTTTATGGTAGAACTCATAGAAGCCATAACAGTTCTGGAAACTTCTACCATAAGCACATATCTTTAAGCTCAGTGAAACTTGTTTTTGTTCTGTTCAAAGTTTTATTACTCAAGATTATGGATTATAAATTTTGAAATTAAGAAATGCTTTTGTAGGCTAGAGTGATGGCTCAGCAGTTAAGAGCATTGACCACTTTTCCAGGGGTCCTGAGTTTAATTCCCAGCAACCACATGGTGACTTACAACCATCTGTAATGGGATCCAGTGCCCTCTTCTGGTGTGTCTGAAGACAGCAACAGTGTATTCTTATACATGAAATAAATAAATAAATAAATAAATAAATAAATAAATATTTTTTTAAAAGAAGAAGAAAGAATTCTATACCTAGCCATCAGGGCACATGGCTGACATGTCAGCGCTTGGGAGCTGAGGCAAGGTGATTGTGAGTTTGAGGCTACTTTGTCTCCAAAAAAAAAAGTTAAGAAAAGGAAAAGAAGACATGTATTTGGATATTTAGAGGTGACAAATGTGGTACTACCATGTGTTTAGAGGTGCTAAGAACAGTTGAGGTAGTGTTCCTGAATGGTCATATGCCAGTTGTATGTCACCCAGGATCACAATTGTTTATACTTCAGGTTAGTATAATTTAGCATATTGAGTGATTATTATTATTATTTATTAACTTATTGGAGGCATGTTTGTTCAAGTCTCCTACCTTGACACACTATTGAAAAAATATATTCAGTGTGTGCTGGACACACAGATTAAAGCAAGCTACATCTTCTCTTCAGTTTTTGTAATGAGCAATTACTCTACAGAAATAAATGACCTTGAGAAATTTACCAGATCTTGTAGTAAAACACTGAGTGGCGTGAAGCACAAGCTGAAATGGTCATCCTGTTTCCCCATAGTAAGGCTGTTAATAAGGCATATGAAGAATACGTGTTAGCCGCTGGGAATCTGGATGAACGGATATTTCTTGGCGAGGATGCCGAGGAGGAAGTTGGGACTCTCTCACGGTGTCTAAGTGCTGCCTCGGGTACAGAGAGTGCTGAACGAACACAGATGAGAGACATTTTGCAGCAGCATCTTGACAAGGTGAGTCAAGTCAAGTAGAAAACAGATGAGTCTCATGTGATGTACTCACCACGTTTCAAAGTCCTGGGAGAGAGGGGGCTGCAGCAAGAAGAAACCAGCTTCTCTTGTGTTTTCTTAATCCTGCATGTATGTATGTTTTAGATGCTTAAAAGAAAAGTCAAGTTACCTTACTGATTTATTTTTCATTTAGTACCAACTTTCAAAGGTGTTTGTTAGGTCTGAGAAGAAAATTGACTGTTAAATCTAAACAGATACGTCCCGCTGGCGGTCTTTGCTTTGGAAAAAAATGGGCTGTAGAGTATACTCTGCACAGTGGTCACAGAAACATTTAGAAAACATTAATCAACCCTAAGTGGAGCCCGTGGGTCTACAGTCAATCTTTGAGAAAATTCTTTTGCACCAAAACCAATTTTTAGGCTGATGGAGACCAGTGACTCAGATTTTCACCTCCTACAACTGAGAAGCTTCGGGGTTGACACTGGCCTGTTGTCTCCCTCTCCCCTCTCGCCCCCTTCTCTCTCCCCCCTCTCCCCTCTTCCCTTTCGCCTCTTCCCCTCTCCCCTCTCCCCTCTCCCCTCTCCCCTGACCCCTCTCGCCTCTCCCCTCTCCCCCCTCTCTCCTCTCCCCTCTCCCCCCCCCTCCCTTTTTCTTCCTCCCTCCCTCCTTTTTCTTTTCTTTTCTAACACAGGGGGCTCATAATGCATCCCAGGTTAACCTCACATTTATAGCAATCCTGCCTCAGCTGCATGAGTGCTGTGGTTAGAGACATGATTCACTCCCCTTGCCACCACATCAGAGCCTGTGCCCTTACTTACCCTTAAAGTAATAGCCCAGCATACCTCATCCTCAAGACCTTTTCTCTGACTGTGCTGTTCTTGCTCTCTTAGTATTATGCCATAGGTAAAATTGAACTGTTCTGTCTTTCTCCATTAGAGTACAAGCTTCAGGAGGACCGAAGCTAGTGCTGTGGACAGTGTGTGCCACGTAGTAGTTATCCCTAAAATTTTACTGTTGATATTTATCAAGAGGGAAGAACGAGTCTGGTGTGGATTTAACAGTGAGGGTTATTAGCACATGGCACTTGAGATGTCTCTGGAGGGTCCTAGTTGCCTGGGTGGGCAGTTTAGTGGAGCTTCTGGGAGAGGTTGGAGTTTTGGTTGTATGTTCTGGAGTCACACGTGTCTGGATGGTTAAAATTATGAAGTGAAGATTCCCAGCAGTGAGACTGAATATCTAAAGCAGTGGTTCTCAATCTGTGGGTCATGACCCCCCTTGACAACGCTCTATCTCCAAAAATATTTACATTATAATCATAACTGTAGCAAATTTAAGTTATGAGGTAGTATCGAAGTAATTTTATGATGGAGGTCAGGAACTGTATTAAAGGGAAGGTTGAGAACCATTCATCTGAAGGCAGAGTACTGGAGCACACCAAACCCTTTCTCTACTGGGAGAAGGTATATCCTGGGGTTTTGTTGCTGTTGCTGTTTTGGTTTTTTGAGACAGGATCTCTTTATGTACTCCAGTCTGTCCTGGAACTAAATCTCTAAATGGGCCAGGCTAGCCTCAAACTCACAGAGATCCGCCTGCCTCTTCCTTTGAGTGCTGAGATTAAAGGTGTGTGCCACCGCACCTGGCCTGGTATTTTATACCTGAGTTAAAAGAAAGTACCCCCTAAGTGACAATAGCAGGGGACTGTGAAGCTCAGTCCCTTACCAACATGGGAAGCCCCTTGCTGACTTGAGGACTTTGAGCAGGAAGCTGTGATTGTCACACCAATGCTGCTTGTGGATGAGATGGTTTTCTGTGGTTTTGGCTGCTAGGAGCTCTTCATATGCACCAGGACATTTTTGTTTCACAGTACAGGCAGGTAGTGCTTCATACACAGGGGAAGTGGGTGCCACAGGAAGCCCAGATAGCAGCCGCACTCGGATGTACCCGATGCGCCCAGGCCATTTATGGCTGTTCAACAGCAGTATGATTTTCCTGAAACCGAGCGAAGGCCATGGCTCTGCTGTTGTTTAAGACACGTAGGACACACATTTACTTCCACTTAGTGAGCATCTTGTGTTTTTCTGTGTCCTGAGATTGAATAGTTCTGTTACTGAGTAAAATCTTTGCTGAGCATTTTTGAAAGTTTAGGATGAGTGTAGTCATCACTCAGGGATGGTTGCTGGATTTTCACTATTAACAAATGCTCAAGCCAGCTTAACCTTTCAGAGTTTCTTCGAACAGTTAGAAAAGCTGATTTGGGGTTAATGTACTCATGCTTAAATTCTTTGACACAGGTCAGATATTTTTCATCTGTGTATTCAAGAATGTTGGCTAACTTGCTTCTCTGAAGGCCTTTCTACTTGAGAAAAACTGTCCTGGATTCTAGGAATGAAAGCCAGGGGATGGGCTGGAGAGATGGCTCAGCGGTTAAGAGCACTGACTACTCTTCTAGGGGTCTGGAGTTTTAATTCCCAGCAAGCACGTGGTGGCTCACAACCATCTGTAGTGGGATACAGTGCCCTCTTCTGGTGTGTTTGAAGGGAGCAACAGTGTACTCACATACATAAAATAAATAAATCTTAAAAAAAAAAAGAAAGCCAGGGGAGAGTGATGAGGACTCGCCCTCCATGAGATTGACGTAAATTAATCCACAGATTCTTTTTTTTTTAAAGTTTATTTATTTATTATATGTAAGTACACTGTAGCTGTCTTCAGACACCCCATAAGAGGGCATCAGATTTCATCACAGATGGTTGTGAGCCACCATGTGGTTGCTGGGATTTGAACTCAGGACCTCCAGAAGAGCAGTCAGTGCTCTTAACCGCTGAGCCATCTCTCCAGCCCCCTAATCCACAGATTCTTATTTAGGCCGTATCTAAGCCATTGCTTTCCTGTGCGCATCCTTGAGTGTGAGACTGCAGCCGTGGAGAGTGTCGGCATGGGGAGCGATGTTCTTAGTGTTTACAAGTGTGAGCTCCCTGAAGGAGAGCTACTAGACAAAGCGAGCTTGTGTAAGTGAGTAAGTGAGTGAGTGTGAGTGTGTGAATGAGTGTATGAGTGAGTGTGTGAGAATATGAGTGAGTG